ATTTGTGTGTCTGGATATATTTAATTTAACCATTGTCATATTGGGATCATGAAATGATGACTTTTGTTTTGCTAAAATAGCATTCAATATGAAAGAGCAGATTATGAGATATAGCTCCAAATACTATTCAAACAGTCATCCAAGGAAATGTTTCTGAAGTTAATTATATCTAAAAATTTGTGAAAGTAAAATTACTGAAATAGGGGCTGAAGAGATGGTTCAGAAGTTAAGTGCACCTGCTGCTGTTGCAGAAGACCCAAATTTGGTTCCCAGCACCCATAACTGCCTGTAACTCCAGTTCTAGGGGAACCATTGGCCTCCACAAGCACTGTATGTACGTGGTACACTTACATATATGTAGCCAAAACACTCATGCACGTAAAATAAAAATCAATTAGAAACCCCAAAAAATTAGATACTAAAATAATCAAGTTATCTTCTAATATTTCCATAAAGAACATTGATCAAATTATTTTGAATTCCGATTTAATGTAATTTGTCATTCCAATTTCCAGCATGTGCCCTTATGATATATGCAGGTATCAATGAATTGTTATCTATGCCTCTGAGTGCCTACTGGTGTAAACCAGAACAAGAACAAATGCTTCATGATCAAGGTAACAAAGTGTCAAAAGAGCAGTGATCCTCTGCAAATTGGTTGCCCTGAGCCCTCAAGAAAATACACAGATATTTACTAGAATTAAATAAAATCAATGACTTCATCAAACACAAGTTTTGTATTCAGTTGCCATTTTTTTTTAAGGAATAGATTTCTTACTGAAGAAATTAGTGTGTTGTGCTGCAGCCTGGTTCAAACTTTTCTTAACCTTGAGTATCAGTTTGTGGACTAGCTTCCTGAATTAGCACTGAAAATACTTTCTAAATCATGTAGTAACTTTCCAAAACAAGACAAACAGATTGTCATTTCTATCCTTGGAGTTATATTCCAAAGGAGAATTCTAGGCAGGATCTCTGAAATATGGTAATTAATAACAAAAATTCTCAGAAATTCCATACCTTCTCTAAAAAATTTCAACAACTACGTGAATGGAATGGTTAACTTAAATGGTTACTGCCAGCCAGATGTGGATCTATTTTAATTTATAGAAAAGCAATGGCAAAATTCCAAGCCAGGTTTAAAATTCAATCTGGACATAATGCCCATCAGAATAAGAAGCCCACTGCAGGGTTTTAAGTTCATATTTCATGTCTTCTTGGACCCCGACCTTAGCTAAGAAGAAAACCTACATATGGCTTTATTGTGGTACCAGCCGCAAGAAAGTATATGAAATCGGACATTAATTGGCTTCTTAGGGCCCTATTTTGGAATAAATTTTAGTTCCATGTTCTGTTAATAGAAATGTTAGAGAAATTTTCCTTCACTTTAAGTAAAATAAAATATCACTTCTCTTGATCAGGGGTGAAATTGTGAGCTGAAGGATTTTAATAAATTACCACAAGGTAAATAGATATCATAGGATAAAAAGTAGGAAGTAGCCTTCGAATAAATTATCAATATGTGTCATTACTCCCACATTCATTTCCAGACGCACTCAGTCTCTAGTCATAGAAAGGGTGTTACAAAATAAAGGAGTAGGTAAGAACACATCAATACATCCCTGCTCACCAAAGCCATGGAGGAAGCTTAGAAAATCATTCTGCCTCCTCATTAAAGGGCAAAGCCCTAGAAGAAAACTGCACCAACAATTACTCTTCCAGAAAGCTGTTAACTAGTCCCTTCCCAATGCTGAGAGCACAGTGGAGTTTCTGAAGAATACCAGCAAAGTGATAACAAACCCAGTCTTTGTACCAGCGTTGTATATAACCCTCTCTTTAAGTTTATTTTGCTATAAAAAGTTTTTTGCACCTTTTGATGTACTGTCCTATTTTACATTGAAATTTGTCCATAATGTCAGTTTGGTATAATGTTTCCTGGATGAATAATCAAGACAGTATTTCATGCTTATTTGTTGTCTTGCACACAGGTGAATCTGGTGTGGAAGAGTGGACCCAATGGAGCTCATGCTCAGTTACTTGTGGTCAAGGGTCGCAGGTGTGAACCAGAACTTGTGTATCACCTTACAGGACACACTGCAGTGGCCCATTAAGAGAATCAAGGGTTTGCAATAACACTGCCCTCTGTCCAGGTAGTGTTAGCAGCAACTACCACTGTGGATGTTATTGAATTGTGTCATGCTACGCATATGGAACAGTTTGTTATTTTCATATCTAGTGGGTATAGACATGCTAATTAGAGTTGATAAGTACCTTTTCAACTGTGTTTTTTTTTGTTATTTCTGTTTTCAGAATAGTCAGGATCTTACATAAGTGACTGCCTTCTTATTGCAAATAAGATTTAAGTTTGTGTATCTGCTTCTAAGAGTATAAAATTTAGTTATTTTCCCTGTGTTTTAGGTGGTAAAAACTTGGAACTGAATTTGAGGAAAAATATAAGTTCCAGGATAATATTATTACTAAATCAGAAAAAAAAAAATAGTGTCTTAGACCGAAGAATTATCTGTTATATTACTTTATTAAATACCTTGAAGTAATTGTCCCTATAACAGCCATTTACTACTTTAAGAGAGAAAGAGAAATAGAGAGACAGAGAGGGAGGAAAAGATTGACCCTTTTTAGAGTGAGATTTTGTATGTTAGATCACAACATGGGCCCTTCAACTGACGTACATTATCTTATTATAACTGCTTTTCCCTTTCAAATCAATGAGACCCTTCTTTCAAGTATTTCAGAAGCAAAGATTTAAGCTTGGCCCAATCACTTGATGGATGGATAACTGTCAATATACTGACCACTGCCGATGGTAGACTGACATATGTAGTCCTTGCAGTGGTCCCTGGAAAAGAGAGAGTATCAAAAAAGGGCTTAGCACTGTAGTCAGTCTTTTGACCATCAAGTCATGCTTAAGATTTTCTGGGGATCTCCATCTCCAGAGATGGCTGATTTTTCAGTTGCTAAAATCAAGAGAGGGTAGTATGGAAGAATGTCAGGAATAACACCAGTTTCCTAGTAGAACAGGCAAATGGAACAGATGTAAGAAACTCTGGAGTAGTTTTTGTTTAATGGGTACAGAGTTTAAGATTTGAACATGTAAATTTTTGATGATCTGTTTCACAGACATATGAATATATTCAATGCTGCTGAATTGTATGCTTAAAATTGTTTCCATGGTCAATTTCATGTTATGTGAGGTTTTTTTCACAACAATAAAGAGCCTAGAGGAAACAAGAAGTGAAAAGAAGTGGCAGAAGGTTCGGAGGAATGATGCAATGGTGTGTGAGATCCCCTTGTAAGAATTAAGAAGCAGCAAAACAATAGATGAAGGTGGACTTAAAGAATGGAAACCAAAGCTATGAGCAAAGAAGACACACTTAGCAAGAAAAGGGCAATAATTTCTATTGAAAATAAGTGAGAGTCAGTTGCAATTACATGAGATGAGAGAACACAGAATGAAGAATAATAAGATTCAGAGGAAAAAATGTTAAGGGAGTCATGGATGGGAAAGGATGGAAAGGTGTAAAAGCAGGAGGCATAGATCGAACTCTAATCACAGGAACCCAAATTAAGTAAGCAAAGAGAAACAGGCACTGGGAATCATAAATGAAATCTTCAGACTACAAGGATAAATGCTTTGGGATCTTTGTCTGAGTAAGAGTAGAATGGGCAGTCTGGGAGAACACTTAGCCCTGATGTCCACTTACAGTATTTAAAGGATGAGCCACAGGATCAAGCTCCCTGTTCTCATAAATCAGAAAAGTGTCAATAGAGAATTATGCTACATTTGATATATGAATATGTCTCATCAGTATATATTTAATGGTAAGATTATTTAAACAATAAGAATAGAGTCTAGAGACAGATTCCCAAATTGGAATCTGAGTGTGTTTGAGTGTGGTTTCCATAGTTCTCCACTCAGTGATTCGTCTCTAGCCTCCAATCAGACACATTTGTAAGGTTGGCATATAGAAGTCTCCCTCTCCACCAGAGAGAGATGATAAAATGCTGTACTGAACATGGAGAACATCTGTGGGAGGACCAGAGTGCTTCTCCCATGTGTAATGGTTAAAGTTTCTCATTCCCTAATTCTCATGCTGAGAAGAATAAGTAATCTATGATTTTAAACGTTTCTTTGGTTTCTTAAAACTTTCACCTTTACAAATTATATATAAAAGACAGTGTTGGCAGTTACTAGCCACTGTTTTACCTGCCTGTTCGTAAAGTATTTGTTTTTACAAATTTTGGTTGAATAATACTCACAAGAAAAGTATATCATTGTTACAGTTCAGTTTGTTGAATTAAAGAGAATAGCTTTAATTCATTTATTTTTAATTTTCTTATATGAGGGATAATTTAGATACTACATTACTTTAAAAATGCCAGATAAGTATTTTGCTAAAGGAAATAGGGCTTTCTTTCATAGGGTGTTTGTTTTTTATGAAATGTTTATTTACCATGTTGGTAAAATACATACTTTATTTTTATTCTAATATATCCTGAAAAAAAGTTAAAAAAAGGTAAATCTTAAGATGTTTAAGCTTCAAGAAGCATTGTAATCGATATAAACATTATTGTAAAATAATAAATTCTCCTCAAATTAGCTCACAAATCAGTAGCTGACTTGTCATACTATAAACTCCAACATTTATGGTATATTTTATTAATGAATATAGTATAAGAAAAGGATCAATTGTCTACTAAAATAAGTCTCTGCAAAATATGTGGACTGAGAGACTTAGAGCTTATATTTATTTGTATCATGAAGGAAATGCAGTAGTATTGCAGATTAGTTACTTTCCATTTGTCATCACATGCTATACTATTCTAATACAGATTGGGTCTTTTGCAAACATTTGCTTTGACAATTATATTTTTTGACATTTTTATTGTTCAGAGTAGGCAAGTATGGAATACACAATAAGTAAATTGAGAAAAATGGAAAGCAACAGTCAATTATGTTTACATTATCCCAGCTGAGCTTCAGCTTCATGTCTACTGCAGCGTTCTTTGCCCCTGTCAATTGGACATCAGCATTTTGACCCTGACAAATCTTGGTTTCATGGGGGCCATCCTGTGCATTCTGAGTGTTTACCAGCATCCCTGGCTTCTACCCACTAGATGCCAGTAGCGCCTCACATTCTTATAAACTGTAGCAACGATGTGTCTTCACATATTAACCAATGTCCTCTGTGGATGAAGTCACCTCTGGTTGACAATCACTGATCTAAGTTTCTCATTCCTGAGTTTATTGAGGTTTATATAGGCTGGAGAATGTTTGGGGGTTGTTTTTTATAAATGTCAAAGTTGCATATTCATTCATTTCTAAAGAAAAAACATTCCACTTGAAGGAATTGTTTTATATATAGCTATAATAAATCACGTGAGCATTTACACATGTTTATTTCAAAACCTGATGATAATGTTTTGTGTATTTTATACATTTTATTTAGTCTCACTTTGGCACAATGTGAAAATTTATATAAAAAAACAAAGACAAAGAAGAGAAATACAAAAATTAGTGAAATTTATTTAAAATGGGTTTTGTTCAAATTTATAAACTCTAACAACAATGTAACATTCTTCAAATTTATTAGGTAATTTTTAAATTGAGATGTTTACTGAAAAATAAAAGATCTTATATGATTTCCATTAAAATTCAAACTTCTAATCTCTAACATAATTCTTATAACAATATATCTAATGTAAATCTTATGAAGAAACCTAAAAATGGGCTATAACTTCTAGGAAATTCAATAGTATCCAAAATAATAAAACATTGAATGTTACATTGTTTATTTGTCAAATAAAGAAATTGGCTTTTTAATAAATGATTGAGTCAAAAAGGCCTCATCATATATCAATAAAGTCTACTAAAAAGAGTTAGGTAATGTTAATTTTCAGAGGACTCAAGTATCATGTTTTAACTAAGCTGCCAAGATTATTTGGCTTATTTTTAGGTTCATAAAGAAAATTTTACCAATTTAGATGTTTTATTTTTCTGTCATTGTGCATGCTGAGCACTATAATAGTTTGATAAATTATTATACAGTATCATTATCAGTTTATGTAGAGGAAAAGGTTGTTATTAAATTGAAATTTTGGGTAACTGGAAACACAAAAAATAAAATATAAATTTTAGATAATACGTTTCTATAAATTCTTTTAAAATCCTTCCTTGATTGATATTTACATAGTATACACACATATAAGTATGTACATATTGAAAAAACTATATGACTTTATGTATATAGATAGACAATTACAGACATTAGTTTTGTTGTTATTCACAGATGTGTATTAGCTTAGGTTTTCCCAGCTTTTCATGGGGAAAAATAATAAAAGTTGACTTCTCCACTCTCAAAGACTTTTCCTATATATTATTCTAAAGAAAATAATCTCCAGCAATTGTCATAGAATTGTTAAGCACTTTTCATTGAATAATACTCAAATTCAGCTATTTTTTTCAGTATTTAAGCATATTTTTACAACTGATTGTGGAGACTCAATAAAATAAATGTAAGGAAATGGTACACCTCATTGTTAAGGTATAATTTTAGTGGGATTCTCTCAGGATGTATTTATGCATGTTTTAAATTTCTATGTATACTTGTTTGTATTTAAAATGTACTCTCTGGTGTCTTAAAGTGTATGTATGTACACTGTGGAAATATTAAATCTAACTGAAATTACTAACATGTATCAGAATCTTAAAAAACCCTAAGAGATTAAATGTTAAAAAGATTCACCACAAAATTTATAAGATTCTGTGATAATTTATCTACTAGGTAGCTAGATTTCATATTTAAAGTAAAAATTTAATCAACACATTCCTGAAGAAAATTCTAGATATGCCATATTTACTGGCATAATACCTCTGCCATTGTATGTGGGCTTGTACTTATCCCTACCGATGTGGAGGGCAAAAATGAACACCTCTTTCTGTCTCTTGTCATATGAGTATGAGCTCTCAGGGATTGTAATCTCAAACATCTGAACTCAGAACTTTCTCACTGTGTCCCAAGGCCATAGGCTCAGCATTAAAGCAGAATGCTGTCAACCAGATGGAGCATTTCTCCTGAACAATACTTACTTGTATTGATGTGAGGTGTCACTGTCCCAAATGTAAGAATTAGGATGACAGCAGTCATTTATACATTCAGAAAAATAGATCTAAACTTTGAATCATAGTGTGGTTTCTTAAAAGACACCAATATTCATTCCCATATCACTCAGTTAGATACAGTATTTGACATGTCATCCTACTCAAAAGACTGTGGTCTTGTAGCCATATGTTGAGATAAAAATACTTTTATTAGCTAAAATGTTAGTTTAAAAAGCTATTTAAAATATGTTCTACTGAGCTAGAGTGATGGCTCAGCTGTTAAGAGCACAGACTGCTCCTGCAGAGCACCCAGGTTCAAATCCTAGCACCCACAGGGTGGATAACAACCTACCATAACACCAGTTCCAAGGTAACCAATGCCTTCTTTGGTCCTCTGTGGATATTGCATTACATGGGTACACTTACATACATATAGGCATAACACTCACACAAAAAAAATCAAAAAATATTTTGAAGATTAGCTACAAATATATATATATACACATATATATGTATATGTCCATTTTTGTTTGTTTTTCCTGAAACTTGACAGGTACTAGAATTAAATCAATCCTTAGCTATATAAATGCAAATTAAACTCTAAAGGATCATCTCCATTGTAAGAAATTTAATTTTCTGTATTTTGCCTAGTAGATTTTACTTAAAAATAACTTACAAGTGTTTAATCAAAAGGAAGAAGGGCTTTCCAACAAAAACAAAAGGAAAAAAGAGAATGGTTTAAAATTTACAGTTCAATGAAGAAAAAGTACAATAGGTTTCTATTATGTTAATAAACTTTTAATTAAATTTAAAATGTTGAGGATAGTAAGAATTTTATTGAAAATGAGTTTTCAAAATATCTTCATAAGTTATTTGAGTTTTTCTTTTTTTCTTAATTATGCAGAAAAAAAATAATCTTTGGCTTTACCTGTCTGACTTTGTGGTTGAAGCTTCTTTGCTTTATTACAGTACATGGAGTTTGGGACGAATGGTCACCATGGAGCTTATGCTCGTTTACATGTGGCCGAGGCCAAAGAACGAGAACCAGGTCATGCACACCTCCTCAGTATGGAGGGAGGCCCTGTGAGGGACCTGAAACACATCACAAGCCTTGTAATATTGCTCTCTGTCCAGGTAAGCATATTCGGTGTCCATTGAAGCTTATGTTTATGTGCTTCACCTACTGTCTACGGTGTGCATAGGGTGTAGAGAGGACAACTTTTGTTGAGTCCCAGTGGGAAATGTATTTTCTCATTATTTTTGCTTCCCTGGGAAAAACTGGGTAATTTCCTCGAATCCACTGTTGGCAGTGCTGTATATTTTCTTGAGTTAGTACTGATCAATGTTCAACTCTAATAGATTTCTCTAAATGTGTGGATTAATGTTTACAATAAGATTATATTTGTACTGGGTTTTCCATTCTGGGAGAATCACAGGGAGTCCTCTCGTCTTGAGGTTGGTTGTTACCTTTGTACTCTAACTAGCAAGATCTGGTTTAGAGTTTGTTCTCCTGGTGTTATTCCCTCACATTCATTCAGTCTAGAAATGAAATGTGCATTGACATGTCTGAAAAGTATAAATATTTCTAGGGGATATCATAGGATAGTTTGTAAAGTCTTTTCTTAGAGAGTGTTTATGCTATCTTAAAATTTTCCTTCAAACAAATATTCCAGTCCTGAATTATCTACTTTTGATAATTCTGCCCATTGCTTCACAGACAAGTCTGCATAATTCTGTTATTTAGATTATTCAAGCATCAAACAAATAGTTATGAAAAGAATAAGAAATGCTCATCTCCAGTTTCAAAAGTCTCAGAATTTGGGGAATAATTACACATTCAAAAATTGCATAAATGATACAGTCTCCCAAGAAACTACCTACACTACTGTGAACAGCAAAAAGCTAAGAAAGGCAAAGGGCAATATCGAAAACAAAAATCCCCCCTCTTCTCTTTAGGCGGTTTTCTTTCTCATTTTCCTGGTTCACACATTCTTCATGGAAGCAGTGTGAGGTGACTCCAACCTCTCCATGTTAATGTTATAAGGCAATTCTTCAATGCTTTGCCAATGTTAAGATTGGGGAAGAGGCACTAGGGACAGAAGTATTTTTTTGGGGGGGGTCTTTTTAAGATAGAGTCTCCGTGTAGCCCCAGCTGGCCTAGCATCCATTATGTAAAGTAAGCTGGCATCAATCTCACAAAGGGCAACGTGCCTCTGCCTCCTGTGTGCAGGTGTTGAAGTCCTGTGCCACAAAGTCCAGTTGGAATATTGTTCACTCTTTAAAAAGGAAAAGATCATGGAATGTTTCTCTCAGATGTGCTGAGAAGATACTGTGCTAACTCTCACGTGCCATACAGAGTATGTTAATGTTATAAGGCGATTCTTCAATGCTTTGCCAATGTTAAGATTGGGGAAGAGGCACTAGGGACAGTTGGTAGATAGATATGGTTAAAATACATTATATAATATGTGAGGTATTTGGGGGGTTCTTTTTAAGACAGAGTCTCCGTGTAGCCCCAGCTGGCCTGGCACTGTCTATGTAGAACAGACTGGCCTCGAACTCACAGAGATCTATCTGCCTCTGCGTCCCAAGTGCTGGGATTAACTGCATGTGTTACCAAGCCCAGCAATATGTGAAAAATTTAAGAATAAATAAGAACATTATTTGAAAAATGAATAAAACATCTTAAGTGTAAAAAACTACCCACTGTGTATATATATACATATATATATGGTAGTCACATAATGAACTTATTTTATTTATTGTGAGGACTGCTTGGTCCTTCTACCTATTGCCATTCAGATAAAATAAAAGAATTTTTATTGAGTAGTATTTTTGATTCCCATGAATTATAAGTATGAACTCAATAGTTATGCAATTATGAATATTAAGGCTCCAAATCATAGTTATTTACTTGTAAATCACTCCCAGAAAATCTATGACACAGACTGGCCTCGAACTCACAGAGATCTATCTGCCTCTGCGTCCCAAGTGCTGGGATTAACTGCATGTGTTACCAAGCCCAGCAATATGTGAAAAATTTAAGAATAAATAAGAACATTATTTGAAAAATGAATAAAACATCTTAAGTGTAAAAAACTACCCACTGTGTATATATATATACATATATATATACATATGTATTCTTAAATTCAACTGTTTCTCCTGTTATTATTGTTCTTGAGTTTAGTCATATAATAAAAGATGTAAAATACTTATTACATTGTATTTCAATATTACTACATTAGTTACTATCTGAAAGGTAAGTCTAATACCTGTAACTTTTCAAAATTTTCATCCTCTACAAAACTTTTTTCATTGTGATTTAAAAATACATGAGATATATTTAGTACAAACTTTAGAAATTCTCTTTAGAAATAACTGTTTTATAGCAAAATTCAGGCACCTTCACTGACTATAAAACTGTTGTTAATATCAATTTCAATGCAAGACACCAATGAAAAGAATGTAGCCTATGATCTCAAGAAATTAAGAAGGTTCAGACATAGCTGTATAAGGATTGTCAGTACCCTAGTCTTAATAAACCTTTGTGCTTTGTTGATTCTAAGGCTTTAGCTAACATTTGTTTTAACATTGAATCTGAGATACCTGGGACATCACCTTTGGGGAAAGAGCAGTGATAGGAAGTGCAACAGACAGTGGTAAAGTAATTGAGTTAAGACTAGCCTAGATTTCCTTGGTTGCACTCACCATGAAATACTGACAAGGACAGAATAAACACCACCACCATAAATTACATGTCTTCACTACTACTACAAGATTTAACAGTGTGAGTTGTGTTCATTTGTGTTGACATTTTAGAACTGAATTGTGCAAGAACAGAATTCTTGGCATCTTTACTTTAAGAATTGTTCATGAACTTCATAAAATACTCTCAGAACGGCATATATTATTCACATCAAATATGAAATTTTTTTTATTTATGCAGAGCTAGATATAGACTTGTAAGTAGAAACTATTTAGCACACACTTTCCCTAGTAAATTTTCAACTTTCTTCACATCTTTTGAGACCAGGAAAAACCATCTGCCTGGCATCCAAATAAAGAAAGAAAGAAAGGAAAGAACAGATACAGCATTTCCTAATTTGAGTTGTTAGTTACTGTTTTAGTTTCTTTTCCTGTTGCTGTAATAAAATACCCTGACAAAAGCAACTTAAAGGAGACAGGGTTTATTTTGGCTCACAGTTCAAGGTATCATCATGTCAGGGAAGTCAGGGGAGCAGGAATTTAAAGCCTGGACATGTGACATTCACCATAAAGCAATAAATAGATAGTTGCTAGTAGCTCTGTTTCTCCTCTTTAATCAGTCCAGGATCTCCTGCTCAGAGAATGGTCCTGACCACATTTAGGATGTGTCTTCCCACATCAATTAATGTAATCAGGTTAATTCCTTTAATTCCTCAGAGGCATACTCAGAAACTAACCTTAATCTAAATAATCATTCAGATCTGTGACCAGGGCTTATCTCCCAGGCCATTCCAGATTCTGTCAAGTTGACAATTAACACCATCATTGGTACTGAATTAAGACATGTCTGAGAACAGGAGAGCTGGTCAGAAGTCTAGAACAGCAACAGGAATCAGCCTGCTCACATGATGTGATATCTTTTTCCTTTTTTTGTTATCTAAACTCAAAATTAATGTCACTATGAAAGGGTATATGTATGCATGTGTTCACTTGTCTTTGAGCTCTCTTTTCCTTACCTAAATAAACCCAAAACTTAGTTCAACCTATTTTGTTGTTGCTGTTTTCTCTGAAAGTTTATCATGGTCACTAATTGGATGTTCAGTGCATAAGGGTGGCAACTGACATATTTGAGTGCGTGGAATTTCTTTTCAATTTCCTATTTAATCTCTCATGCAATTATGTTCCTGGCATTCACTGAGAAATTACCACTGAATGGATTTTCTTGACATTTATATATTTAAATTTCTAATGCTCATTCCAATTTCTTGAATTATATTTTGTACATATATCTATATATCTATATCTATATCTATACCTATATCTATATATATTAGTGTGATGTAATGGTAGGATTTTGGACTTTCCTCAAAGGATGCATATTTAAGTTTAGAATTTTACTTTTTTCCATAACTCTCACCTCTCTGAGCTTTGGCTTTTTCATCTGTATATTGGGGATAGTAGCATTACCTGTGTCATGGTACTGTTAAGAAGACTGACAATGTAAGGTACTGTGGTTGGCAGACTTGGTAAATTGCAAACAACTAGCATAGTATTATTATTATATGTGTTATGTTAATACCCTCTGACAAGGCTCACCAATATCACAAGCTGACTCCATTGCTCTTGTCAATAGGCCTTTAGAAAGTACTAGAAAGGACTTGTTAAAGGATGGCAATGGTTGTCCCCACCCCAACTCCTGGCTGGATACTGGGGTTCCCTGAATCCTATCTCACCCCTTCAAACCTCCCCCACACATACTTTCTCTACCACCACACACTGGTGCTGGCCATACCAGACCTAGGTTACTCTGGTGCCACAATAAATTCGTATCTAGCTGTGAAAGAAAAAGGATCTAGGTTTGTGTTGTTAAGTGATTTATATGAGAGTTTAAGAAGATAGGACATTCTAGATAGAACATTGTTAGGAAGGAGAGATTTTTATATGATTAGAAATCATATGCATTGTGTAGAAAAACAGAAGATTTTCTATAATTGATAACAAAGTTGCAGTTTCAAGTTAGCTAAGAAACAAATATTGGTACTGTGGGTAGTTGTACTAAATAATCTTGTTTATAATGTGGAAGTGAAAATGTCTATCAGTAATGTTCTCATAGATGGTGAGTTCCCAAAAAAGATAACCAGACTGTTTGTGAGCCAGAAAAGATGCTTATAACAGTGGGATCCAGCTATATGGAATATACCTCCTGATATCCCTAGAGAGAGACCTTCTTGATGGGCAGATATTATCACTTGAAAGCCTGGCTTTAGTGGTGTTTCCTTTTATTAATATTTAACTAGAGAAAAGTGTCAGGAATAATATGCCTGCATCCTGGTCTGCCCGCCATGAAAAGTAAATAGACACATAGCCTCAAAATAAAATCGTCTATTCCAAAATTAAACAATTCTCATATAATCTTGTTTTTAGTT